CAAATCTAGTATGGAGAATTTACAAATGCACGTATACTATTATTAAATTTTGCATGCCATAAAATAAGTTCTTGGATATTGTTCTGTATTGCATATTCCCGGGGTGAGTTAATTCATCAATGCGCTAATCTATTAAAATTGGATAATGCGCTATTATTTGAGTTAACAGTATTTGTTTGGGATAAATAGATTTCTTCTGAGGTACACCAAAATGAAGTAGGAAATTCACAGAGACCGCTTTGTATGGCCATAAAAAAGCCTGTACAATTATTGAAAGATTGCCATATTTAGACCCAATCTTCTAACTACGACTTTATACATCTCATTATACCTGTGTTTACCTGTACAGGTACCCTTACCGTGAGTATCGACGTCTGACCTATATAACGTATGATTCTGGTTTACAGGTACGTCGTAATCTATTGTATTGACACACACGGGTACCACAGGATATTATCTACACTTAAATAACAACCACAACTGGTATTTTAACACAAATTTAAACATATAGTCAAACACAACTGACCCGTCGGTTGACATTTCCTAAGAATATTCATAATGGCCTGTTACGTTCTTTGTGTAGGTATGCCCAGCTGTTCACTGATTCTCGGGAGTATCACACACACGTCCAGAGACCGGTTGTCAGTAATTCAGTTAGCTCAACAATGAATTAAACGCGATATTAAATCTTGGAGTGTTTTCTATAGTTTATCATATGTAGAATTAATTTCTGACATAGACGTGTTTTTATACAGGAATATACATTCAATGCAGAAATTCGGGAAAAAAACCTGTTTTAGGTATAATTCTTTTGTTCAGTTAGTTAAGCTTGCGAAGACTGGTCTCTTGGTTACAAATTTTAGTTGTAATATTTCACAGTTACAATAATTTGGAAAAAAATCTTATTAAATCCAGAACTCGGATGCTTGGACAGTTTGTGTATCAGATACGGCTGACGTAGATGTTATACAGGAATTCCCTACAGCATATCATTTATTGTGTTCATCCGAAAACCAGGCCCGAAAGTTTACCAGAACTAAATCTTAACAATTGTATATATATATATAGTAACATATATTAAATTAAATGCCACATACAAAGGTGACAAATAAATTGTCATTAAAAACGATAATATTATGTAAGAATCAAATGAAAACTTAAGGAGTTGAACATCAAGCCTGCTTAATTTTTGTAAATACTAGCAAGTGTGTCAACAGTGTCCTAACATATCAGGTATCGTATCTGGTATTTACATCTACTTGTAACCATTACCATTTTCATTTGTGATATCTTTATAAACTATCGTAATCTTTATCCCTCTGCAGGGAAAATGGGTGACCAGAAGAAGATTGTTGATATTTTAGCCAAGTTTAGCTTAGGCCCTAGGGGTGAGTCTTTGACTAAATTTTCATACTGTCGAACTGCAATAATATGATTATAATTATAACTAAAATTGAATGATTTTATAAAATATAGTACATTTTACTTCCTTCCCAGGAGGAACAGGAGACCAAGTGAAGAGGAAATTCACAATTTGTATAAAGGACCTCACATCTGGGTCTGAATTTGACCCCTTTTGACCCTATCACTCAGACACATTTTTCAACTAAAAGGAAAATTTATATCAAACTGGAGAAATGAAATTTATACTTATATAAGTACGAACTTTGTTTAGAAAAGTACTTACTAGAACTCCGAAACTAGCCAAAGCGTATTGTAAGTTAAGAACATGTAATACTAAGTTACCAATTGAAAGTGGTAGGTGGTTCAATATACCACGTGCAAATAGATTATGTAGTTTATGTTATTTAAGAGAAATTGGCGACGAATTTCATTATCTGTTTACATGTACACATCAACCAATTCTCAATAGTAGGCGAAAACATATGTCCAGATATTATTATGAAAGACCAAACACATTTAAATATCATACATTATTCAATTATGTAACACAACATGAATTGACATCATTGGCTAAATTTATTACCAATATTAATGACATAATTAATTTACAATACTAATGTCCATCCTGTTCCACCATGAATTATTGCCACCCATTTGTATATATGTATTCTCTACACTGTATTGTTTATGAGAATAAAACAATTGTCATTGTCATTGGTTTGTAATATAGGACTTTAAGTAAAATGTAGGTAAAATATAGGAGTGGCAAAAATAAATAGGAATTTATAGAAATGTATGGGAAGTGGAAACCCTGAGTGATATCGTGAGAGGAATCGGCGACCAATCATGATGTGCCGTCAAAATCAAACAGACGGAATTACCCGAATGGTTTCCGAATGTTTGTCGCCTGATGGAAATGGTAACCATAGAAATGCACGACCTTGTCCTTACACAAAAAAACTGTTGTACCTTCATTGGGTTTAACAGTTTGTTTCAAATCTGTCATTACCCCTCAAACTAATTGTATTGTTTGATGGATTGTTTTTTTCTTTGAACGTATATCTAAATATTAAAATGCACTATTGTATGGCACAAAAGTTATTCAAGTTTTGAAGTTTTATTCGAACTTTAGGCCATTGACCCATCAGTATACAATACATATTATACACAAATCATGGACAATGTACAGAGAATGAAGACAATCATATTCCATTATAATACCCTTAATTTGTTTGCCTCATAGATGAATTTTCCTAGTATACACAATTCTTTAATAAGAGCGTAGCTCTTTAATGGTAACGCATGCGTGCGTAAACAGAGTTGCTTCCCTTTATACACATTGCCTTTATTTTTTTTCGTCCGGAAGTAGACGTCCAGTGGGGAAACAGGAAGTGTATCCTTGAAGCAAAAACAATTGTGTTTCAACTCATACATGAACATCTTCATATAGTGAAAATAATACCCATGTTTTATTTCTTATTTATTTAGGTAAAAACTAATATACATTCTGAGTGTAAAAATCGATCACATAAATTTTGATACTAGCTGGCATGAAACGTCGTTCAGAGATGATCATACTATGACGTCACAAGCACGTCACACTCCATCGGCCTTCATCGGTTCTTTCCGGAAGGATGAAAAGTAACCGGAAAATCTTGGACTTTATCTATCGTTATTGTGTATATGAACGAAATAATTAACATTTCTGAAAGTCTGGTTATAGTCTTTACATAATTTATGTATGCATCAACACTCATAGAAGAAACAATGGATAATTCATTTATGTCGAAATCAACTTTTTCACAATGCATGCCGATTGATAACTACAGGCAGAAACTGTTTAATTTTATTTGGCATCATCACCTGTCAATCAGTGACAGTTACAAAACTTGAAATTCAATCCGGTGTTTCAGGATGGAACAGGAATTCAGACTATATATCGATATAACGACAATTTCAGTTACATCAAAGTATTACAATTTTTTCTTTTTTTAATTTCATTTTTAACTAACATCTCTCTATATAAATTTACTTTTATAGACTTATCGTCAAATATGTAATTTGCACTTTTTTCTATAGCAATTACCAAACAGTTTTCCCCGAACTTATTCAATCCTTCTTTGTGTGACCTGACGGAAGCACGCAGATGATTTAATTCTTAATGTGGGAGGAAACCGGAGTATCCGGAGAAAACCCGCGTGGTCGGGCAGGTAACTGGTATTGAATCCATCCATCTTGGTGAAGACGAGCGCGCTATCCAATGCACCACCCGACCCACATATACGTTACGCACAAGAACAAATATCTACTTTAGCTTTGGAAATGGCGTCATTGATGCAAACATTATATTGTGAATACATTTTTACCAATCATCAACGATAAAAAATCTACATACGGGAGACCGGTGCAAGTTCGGCCACCCCTGATATTTTTGTTTTTGAGCTAATATTTACAACTTTAAAGATCTTAGCAGTTAAGTTGGCTGGGCATTCACACGAAAAAATGGCGAGGAAAACTCTAATTTAAAATTACTAGACAGGAGAAAATTACTTTTGAGAGGGTAGAAAGAAAATCATGATTTCGCTTCTAGTTATGCGAGTTTTCTGTAAACGGTATTGCAGTATTTTTAAGGTCAAAAGTGTAAAACACTGACAGCTTCAAATGATATACATAAAAGCAAAGCCAAGCACTCACTACCATATTGCTGTACGATAAGTATTTATTGAAATATCAATTTGGGCAGGGGTAGAACAATGAAGGATTATCACATTTTTAATTAAGTTTCACATATTGATTTATAAGAGTATTGCTTATTGATAAAATGGGGGAAAGATTTAGGTTGAGGGGGGAAGTAGTTGGCTAAACGCTGGCAAAACCCTACCTATTACGGAAGGTCTAGTGTTGATCGTTCAAAGGGAGATAACTGGTACTAAGTTTCGATGATTAAATTTTAGGTGTTATACTCACAACAATATATAGACAAACAAGATTATTTTCATTGAGAATTTGTATTTAAGAGGAAGGTTGCTTTTGATCTATTAATAGATCGGTGAAGTTCCAGACCATATGTCGTAATATATAATATGAAGTTATGACCTATTTATCACTTATCAGCTGACTTCTGGTCACGTGGCATACTGTAACAAGGAAGTTTATAGTAAGGTGGCGTTTCTCTGTCCGTGAGTCAAGTTTTTCACATTCAAACAAAAACAGCAGACACTATGGCAAGTAACAGATCCGTACGGCGTGCCCAGGAACCCGTTACCTACACGTGTGATTTGTGTGACAGTGAAGACGGGGTTAGATGGTACTGTAACGATTGCCAGGAGAATTTATGTGACCGGTGTAAGGAAACCCATACACGCGGAAAGAAAACTAGAAACGATGACGTCTCGTCGATAGGGAAGGCTACCCGTCAGGGCGACAAGCCTGTACCGGAGGTATGTAAACTACATCCCGGTAAACTGTGTGACGTGTACTGTTGTGATTGTGACATACTGATGTGTTTGATGTGTTTTTCCCAGACACACAAACAACACAACTGGAAACATTTTGAAGACGAATTTCAAATCAAAAAGCAACATTTACAAGAACATATGACAGCAATATCTGCTAGAATTGCACACTTCAAGAACGAGACGTCGAAGTATGGTCACAAAACATTCAAAGGTAACATTGATACAATGAGAAAGGACGTTAACACACAGCGGGCAATGATAAAGTCAGAAATAGATTCTATCGCGGATGCAGTCCTGGCCGAGTTATCGTCCCTGGAAAAGGAAGAAGCAGTATTGCATCAAAAAGATTGTCAAGAATCGGAGAAAAATGTCAGAGAGTTGACGAGTCTGCTTGAAAAAGCGGAAATGACGGATACAACGAGTACATTTGAAATGGAAAGGTCATTGAGGACAACTCTACCATTGTATGATGTTAATGTGAAGGATGTTCTACCGAAACTACCAAGCTTTGTTACCGGAAGTATCGACCCCGTCCTGTTGTCGAAAATGTTAGGTGAATTACACCACGGGAACCAGTACGAGAAGACAGACATCGACAGTAAACACGTTCAACGTCTTTCTAAGTTTACTGTTATTCAACAAAATAAAATACTCGGTATATGTCCAGTCGACGACAGTCACGCGTGGTTATCAATAATTCTATACCAGGGTCTGGTACTGGTTAACAAGGAGGGTGTGGTCATCAAGACAGTAAAATTGAGCTTCTGTCCGTACAGAATCACCATGGTCGGGACAACAGACATACTTATGACCAGTTATCCATGTAGTATATATGTATATAAACTATCACTACATAACAAACAGGTGACAACATTTGCTGACATTAAACCTCATACCGCATTCGACATCAGCATTAACGAGAGGGACGAGGTGTTTGTTAGTACAGACACACCAGACATAGTGGTACTGAATCAGTCAGGTACGATTGTGAGGAAGGTGACGTGTGGAATGGAGGGGCGGTATATTACATGTTTGTCGTCAGGAGACATTGCAGTGTCGAACGTTAGTAATGTATCAATCATAACAGACAGATCTGGTACAATCAATTATAAATGGTCTGGTGAACTATACAACGGTCAAACGGTTGGTAGTAGGAACCTCTGTAGGATTTCATGTGACAAGTACGACAGACTGTTTGTACCAGACTACACTAACAACCAGGTGCATGTCCTACCGAGAGATAGTACACAGGCCACGTGTCTCCTGGACCAGAAACATGGAGTGGTCAACCCTACAGCGGTGGCTGTAGACACGTGTGGGGACGTGTGGATCGGGTGTTTGGACGGTACCGTACACGTGATGCGACTGTAGAGTTAGACAAGTATTGTGACATACAGAAATCCGTGGTAATGATAGAAAATATAGCCGGGTAAAAATGTGTTTAGAGATAATCCCTTAATGTTCTACCTGTACTACATATATAGATATATAGAACTGAATGGATCAGTCATTGATATGTGGTGTAAATTTGACGTTGACGTTATTTAAGGAATGATTTTTATTTTTTCAACATTTATGAGGTCATAACAACAATGGGTTTATGGACATATTGAATGAATCGCGTTAGCGATTCATGTAAAATATGTCCAAAAACCCATTGTTGTTATGACCTCATAAATGTTGAAAAAATAAATATCATTCCTTANATGTAAGAATTAAGCATCTAGGTCGGTCGTTCCGAGTGAGTAGTTTTTGTAGTGTATTACTACGCAGTGTGATCAGGTTACTATCAGTTCCCACGTGCTGAGATTCTATGAACACCTGTGTTATGCATTTATGAATGTAATTTTTGTCAATGGGTCTAAGCATACAGAATGTAAATATTAAGGTGTGAAGCTAGATAACCAGTAACGTTAACGGTTGATAGCAAACTGTATGTTGCATGTAATGGAAATAGTGGACTGAAACAAAGTGGAACCGCATCTACCCGGAAAATTTGTTTCCAAAAGAAAAGTTTAGTTTGTACTGAATATATGTGCTAAAAAAATGCTTTCCCGGACAAACAAAATATGCCCGTGTTTGGGGCAGTCTTTTAATCACCTGTTGTGACAACAGATGGATTCAATTGACTTTGTTTTGATCTATCCTCTATACAATAATGTTATCTCTCATAAACTTAATTTTTGGTTTATTTTGCCTATAATTATTTGGACGGTTGTCGTTGTATAAAGAAATTTTCAGTTATAAATGATAGTTTTCTTACATTTTAGAATGATTGGATATATATATATATGTACATTTTGTATATCAATATGAAAGTGTGATAAAATATAAAACGAAGGATACACATATATATACTTCAGTTTCTCAGATAATGATCACAATAACGTTTGGACCAATAATCTGTCATTTACACAAGTTTTATTTTCTTATATTCAGGCAAAATTCTCAAAATAAAAAAAACTGAAAACGTTTTTACAATTCATTAATCCAGGTTTTTTAAAAGAAATAAAAAATACAATATTGTTTCCCTAATTTTAACATATATAAATTTTAAATGGAATATCAGAATATCTATATATCACTATTTTCAAAAACCTACAGTGTATTTAAATGTCTGTGTTACACTGTGGTACGTGTGTATTGGAAAAAAACATCTGTGTTCAAAGTCGTCCAGTTATTGAGTGTCCATGATATTAAAGAATTGTGTATACTAGGAAAATTCATATATGAGGCAAACAAATTAAGGGTATTATAATGGAATATGATTGTTTTCATCCTCTGTACATTGTCCATGATTTGTTTAAAAAAAAAATGTTTTGTATACTGATGGGCCAATGGCCCAAAGTTTGAATAAAACTTGAAAAACTTGTGTGATGTTATCTTGATCTACTTTACATAGCGTGACACAATGTAATCACTTGTGTTTATACAAACACATTCACTATCATGTGTTTGGACGGAAAACAAAAGGAAAGTTACTTTTAATTATTCCTGTATCTATGAAATAATAAAACTGTAAACATCCATATAACGTTGTGTTTATTCATTTGTAAATCAGAATATATTAGAATAAAGAACATAGTCAATTACACTTTAGTAGATACAGATGATCGAGGGTAAACATTGACAGGATTTGAAGTCGGGTGTCTTTCCTTTGTAATCTTCAAAGGACAGGTATCAGCCTAGCGATTGGTCAATTTTTTTTAACCTGAGGCCAATCAAACAGCTATATTCGCGCCTTCAATTTTGCTATGACATATTCCAGGGGTGTAGAGATGCGAAAGTGAGCGTAACCCCTGGATATCGAGGATGGTTGTAAGTATACTAGAGAGCGAGCTTTCAAGGATGGGGTATGTCTAAATAAGACTGTTACCAATTACGATCGCTCAATCGAAAGTATCATAACTTACAAGAGCGAGAGGTATCGTGTTGCTTCGGGTCCGCTACATTGATAAACCACGGGTACTGTGAGTGCTCGTTAGATTGCTTTATGGAGTAATAGGGACCACCGAGTGGTCAGGGTAACTTAAGGTTAGCAACCAAGAGTAGTTCTATAGATTGTACATTATTGGTATATGTAGTGCTGTCGAGCTATCATGGTAGCGCGACATCTGCCGTACTGAGCTTTTCGAGCTGACGTCAGATTACAGGTTGGGTGGGCGAGCTATCATGGTAGCGAGACCTCTGCCGTACTGAGCTTTTCGAACTATCGTCAGAGTACAGGTAGGGCGGTCGAGCTATCATGGTAGACGTCTGCCGTACTGAGCTTTTCGAGCTATCGTCAGAGTCCAGGTAGGGGGGTCGAGCTATCATGGTAGCGAGACATCTGCCGTACTGAGCTTTTCGAGCTGTCGTCAGATTACAGGTTGGGTGGTCGAGCTATCATGGTAGCGAGACATCTGCCGTACTGAGCTTTCCGAGCTATCGTCTGAGTACATGTAGTGCTGTCGAGCTATCATTGTAGCGAGACATCTGCCGTACTGAGCTTTTCGAGCTATCGTCAGAGTACAGGTAGGGTGGTCGAGCTATCATGGTAGCGAGACATCTTCCGTACTGAGCTTTTTGAGCTATCGCCAGAGTACAGGTTGGTTGTCGAGACCAGTGTCGCGGACAGTGAGAGGTCAGCGAGCGATCGGCCGCGTGTGTATATGTACGTTCTGAGCAATCAGTAGTGGGAGCGCTCAGTTAGATTATAGTATTAGGTGTTTTTATTGTTCTATACGTAGTTATTTTGCATTTACTGTTACACAGATACTGCTTTGTATATATCACCTGTATATATTTATTAGTACAAGACGTCAATGATCACAAGCAGTGATTGCTCGGACATAGGCAATGTTGCAGAGTTAGATTTACTTACCTGTATATATTTGTATCTATACTAGAATATTGATACACCTCAGTTGAGGTAGGTATACTCGCCGGAATCTCCAGTGTGACTGGTACGGTCAAAGGGGAAACGTCACAAATGCTAAGGTCGATTTTAATTCTACATTGTGGGTTTGTGATTACTAAAGTCGCAGATATACAACAGTGCGAGGAAGCCGTGTTTAACATTATACAGCAATACCTAACAGAGGGTACCTTATCAGTACGTGACTTTTATAAGACGTACATGTTTACGATCTGTCATAACAGCACATCCTTGACTGATAAAATTGGATTGTCTAATACACGTGATTGACTTTTCGCTAGTAACTTTACATCATAAAGGTATTCACATTGCATTACACACGTGCGTATACATCGTAAAACACACGTGTAAATATTGTATTATACACGTGTACACATTGCATAACAACACAGAGCACAAACTACTTATAACTATACAATTAATTAGATCATAATGTACCGGTGACATACCTATACATTTCATGCCATATCTCTTAAATATATGTGGTGATTTAATGCACATATTGTTGTTGTTGACTCACCTATTGCATTCTAGCTTTTGAAAACAAATCTAGGTCGACAGAAGTAATGAGAGATAGAAACGGAGAGGCAGTGTCCGACTGGAGGAGACGAAACAGATAGACAGAGAAAGACAGACTGACTGACAGGCACAGACAAAGAGACAACACAAAACACATAAAAATGCTATGATATTGTAAGTGTAATGAATCTTACAAAGCTTCAGAAACCCAACTTCTTAACAAAGAGTAATTTTAAAACGCGTGAAGACGTATTATCTTAATTGGTATTTAGCGTTGACTCTATTTATAAAAATATTATACATATAACTGTAACAGTTGTTAGCTGAAATGTTAATAGTGACATCCTTTGCAGAAGCGCAAACATTTAATATTATATTTACATTCCTCTGCAATGTCTTCTATAAGCATTACCAGAAGTAATTGCATTCTTAGAGCTATGAACGCATTTTGATCAGTGTCATTCTGAAGCTTTTCCTTCCGCTTCCAATAACATGAGACAACCGTTAGAAGAAAACATTTTGTTGACGTTAGGCTGTTCCAGGAATATCTTTTCCATTGACGACACATACACTTCAATATCGAAAATAAAAGGGAATATCTATATATAGGTCAATACAAACTAAAACGTTATAATGTAGATATACGGAATGAACGGTATTTTTTCAATGTTTATGCTGGTATGTACGTAAATCGGTTATGTTGATATTTACCACGAAGCCCGAATTTGTCTTTGACCGATTTGCGTTCAAACAAGCAATCAAATAAAAAAGGTCCGTTCAATCCTTATATGAATATCAAAAGTCTTCAATCTAGTACAGTTTTGGACATTTTTAAGAAACGGTTAATATTTTCATTTTTTTTAAAATATAGAAGTCATTCCTTTTCAAAAGTTTGTCTCAAATAACTCGTTTTAGGAAACTCACAACACACAAATTTATGCTTACACATATATTAATAGACAACCAATAGTGGCAAAGGTATCCAGGACAATTTAGATACTTTATTTGTTTGTTGAGTTACATTTCTATTATTTGAAATGAACTCATATTGAATTCCTATCCATTTAACCCTACACTGAAAGGTAGAATACCAACTTCAATGATACAGTATGTCAAAATGGGGATTCTGTTATACATCAAGCAGTTTGTGCATGGAAAGCATGGGGATGAAATTAAAACAAAAACAAAAACAAAGAGCTACATGATATTTTTTTTCAACCTCAGCTATGATTTTAAGGTCAACTCAGGACGCATTCTTCAAAAAACATAATAGCCATTATATACAGTATAGATGATCTAAATTGATTGTTATGTCTCTATATTTACTATAATGTACAGGATATTGTATATATATCAAATGTAATGCAAGTATCTATTTACTGTAATGTACAGTGTAGATTATTTATATTTATTGTAGAGTATATATTACCTGTATTAACAGTTATATACAGTATAGATTATCTATATTGGCTGTTATAAGGGTATAGATTATCTTTCGTAAAATTCCATTCACAAAGTATTGTTTGATAAAAAATAACCGAATACACAGCACAAAACGATCGTTAAAGATAAAGTAAATGCTCTTGGAAATGTGGTTAATTAGTTAATGCGATCGCGTAGTATAATCCTAGTTGCGATATTTTATTTCATCCGAAGTTTACCAAATACTCATAAATGCTTGTAAAACTTGCATCAGGAGAATGTGTCTGTGAAAACAAGTAACTACATGTATTTTATTTATGAAATTTGCCCCTCTTTACCAACCAAAAGCCTGAATCTTAAAAAAATATGATGAGAAAGTCGATGTTTTTTTTACAAACAGTTTTGTAAAAGATGATTTTATAAGACAACTGGTTCATTTGGCTTATTTTCACAAAAGCACTTGAAGATTTGGATCTTTCATCAGATTAATTCCATATGATCGCCCAAATCCAGCACCGAATAGAAAAAATGTTGTTGCAGTAATAGTTTGTGTCCGGAAATGACTAACGCCACACCAGGTAACATGTCTCTAACTAATCCAAACTTGTATTCCAATGCTCGTTTGTCTCCATGTGATATGCTGTAGCATGTATATGGTGTGTGGTTTGATGCCAATATTGATGGATATTATGTTATTGCGTTAAAAGATATTAAAATGATCAGACTTTGGCCATTATGATGAAGGCAGCTCTATAAAGCACTACAGTTGGTTCTTTCTATCATAATAATATTTCGAAATCAGTTTTTCGGTTTTAATTTTCCAACCATTTTTGTTTGTTATGCCTTTAAAACTATAGTCGCTCATTTTCTATGTATGAACTGATTGAACCTAAACAGACACTCCATTTCAGGATGACATAACCCTAGACTTTTGCCAAAAAAATCAACCTTATTCAATATCACCCTTGACAAGCAGTCCATCAATTTTGTCAAAAATGAGACTTATTATAGACATTTACATTTTAGTAAAAAAAAATGTTTTAGATATAATGACAGTGGTCAACAACGGCGACCATGGCGACACTCAGTGGCGAACCCAGGGGTGTTGCCCTAGTTTTGACTGTGCGAGCAAGGTGCGTACATTTTCAAGTCATATCCTACAAAGTCCGATTTGATTTATGACATTCCGGAGAAAGAGGCCATTGTATATATGTATTTGTTAAGTATAAACGACCATTGCGTGTTTTTTCGGTAATGGGACAATAGAAATCAGAAAATCTGAAAAAAAGAATGCTTCCATTTGCATTTCAACATCAGCACTTGAGATTTTCTGAAAGATCGTATTCACATATTCAACATTGTACAATTAATGTGTTAAAACAAGGTTTTTATCGTTACGCTAGGAGTTGATCCGTCTCGTATCATCTACACCAATCCGTGCAAACAAAACTCACATCTGACCTACGCCAAGGAGCACAATGTAGACCTGATGACCTTTGACACTGAGGAGGAGTTGATCAAAGTCAAAATGTTGTATGGATCAGCATTAATATCCGTCTGTGTTGAAGCAGTATTCTTTGTGTTACAGATTACTCATGCGATTCCGACCGAAAAATATGTATGAAGTAATGTACGACCTGGGAAAAAAGTTTGGTTGTGACTTTGAAGAAGCGATGGATTTGTTTATATCGGCAAAGAACAAAGGCTTGACCGTTATTGGTGTATGGTGAGTGACATACAAACAAATAATATAGTATAAATCAAAATACAAATAAGTTCAGAATTTAAATACGGCTTACTTTTTATCAATCCTTATTTATTAATTCTAGAGAGTAATTTCTGGATGTTAAATATGTTAATATGAATTCATTGTTTTTCGTTTTCATGTTGGAAGTAACTGTCTTACTTCCAACGCATTTGCTTCGGCAATCAAAGAAGCTCGGAAGATATTTGACATAGGACTACAGATCGGCTTTGATATGAACGTCCTGGACATTGGGGTGGATTCCGAGGGAGATATGTTGAACATCCGACTATAGAAGAAGTATGTGATATAGTAACAGTAGAAATATTAACCTGGAAACTGGCATTTATTCGATCAATTAGGTAACAAATACTTTTCTTTTTTTGACGACAATAGTAAATTGCGTTCACAACAGCATATTCATCTGTACAAAACTTTATATTGTTATTATTACATCAAAACGAAATTAGAATGAATCAAGGTTAGCGCAACAATGCTAAAAAGTTAAAAAAACAAAGCTTTCAGCTCGATTTATGGATGTTTTACATTTTATATCGGTCACATGATATCTATGTTATTAATTGTTTTATATTCTGTTTACGTACAGAATGCAGAGGTTATAAACCAGTGCCTTGATGATTATTTCCCTGAAGGAAGTGGAGTAAGAATAATTGCTGAGCCAGGACGTTACCTTGTGGAAACTGCTGTCAGTACTGCAGCCAATATCATAGGCCGATAGCTTATCTATGATGATGGTTTGTGCAAAGTTGTTAATGTCTTATATTTGTTTGTTGATGAGTACATATGTTTTTGGTTGCATGAACTTTGACCTCTTTGTTGCGATTAAAATAAATGAACATTAACACTAATTATATTTTTTTTCTCCCTTATTTTTTGCACTTGCACTTTCTGTCGAATGTCTCTTTATATAACATAACCATTCATCTTTTTGTCTGTTTGTTTTGCTTTGTTCTGTTTTAGTATGTTTTTGTTTTAATTTTTTAACTTTTTATTACATTTTCCTTTCCTTTGGTAATTTTCGTTGTTCGATTTAAATGTTTCTAGACTGTGTTAGTTTGTACGGCATTAAAAAAAAGTTTGGTGTTAATCAGGTCAGTCTATCACTATCAAATGTTCTCGTAGGTCCGTTAGTCATGTCAAATTGATTCATAAGTTACTTGACACCAAACGCACCTGAATATTATGTTAAAGTTTGTGAGATTCATTTAATAATTTGTTTATTGATTTATACCCGTTTCTTTACCTGACCCTTTCCTACGTGTTTTACAGGAAGCATAATTTTAATGGAAAAAAATACAAATAAATTATCTGCTTCTAAGAGTGTTTACAGGAAATTGAACTTTATCAATTATGCATGGCTTTATTTGCTTGCTTTTCCAGATAAATCCAGTATTGTACATGTTATGTACATCATTAATGATGAAGCGTATGGTACCTTTGCGTGGGTAAAAGAAGTCACGGAGGTGTTTGTAATGTCACCAGTTCTTAACAAGGTACATCACCTTACATAGAGGACATAGTGTATAGTCTTCGCAGTGATGTTAACGAATACAATATGAAATGATTATAAAGTCTTAAGATTCCAACTTTTTAGCATTTTTCAGTTTGTATTCCAGATACTAAGTTTCAATAAATATTGAAGTAGAGAAAATATCGAAATATTAAATCAAAAACAAAGATAAGAAACAATTCCTGATGGCATCTGTTATAGTTTTTATGTTCTTTATAGAAAATCAAGATTTGAGAACTGAGTGCAAATTCGAAGTAAAAATGATAAAAAATATTTTAATAAACCTTCTATGACTTACTATTGAAATGTTGGTCTGGCAACAGAACGATGCGATAGCATCTTATTGACTTAAATGTAGCATCATTGTTGTGGGAGCAATATGCAGTGTGATGCTGCATATCTATAACCCTTTAAACCACGATATCTTTTTCAAGATGCCTTCAACATTTTGGCTCCACTTATTTTCTACTGCTGATTTTACCTTGGTGTGTGTGGGTTTTTTTCTTTTTTTTTCTGAGATTAAATTTTACGTAGGGAGTGTTTTATGGTGGAATTAATCATTTTGAAGAACAAAAAAATCATACAATATCTTCAAAAAAAATGTTTTTAGAAATCAAAGAATATTGCACAGAAATAAGGAATAGCAATATCTTTTAAATTATGGAAATAAACATTCTTCAACTTATATTTTGATACCTTTTGCACATGCATGTTTCCTTAAAAAATTGATCATAATTTGTTACATATAATAAAATTTTGTTACATCAGACCAAAACAAGATTTGAACGTGATTTAAATCTCAGAAGAGCATATTCTGAAGTTATGTTCAGTTAGAAACCTTATAAATTGTGTTAACTTGGCAAAGAAGGGAAAAACGATGTGATGACAAAACCTTAATAGGAACTCGATAAAACTAGGACAAAACTTAGTTTATGTTGTCTTTAGGCGAGTACAGAGAACCACCACAGCACGGTGTGGGGTCCAACATGTTGTGGCACTGATTGCTTGGCAACAGAAACAGACATGCCACTACCACTGATGGAGGTCGGAGAGTGGGTACAGATCAGTTACGCAGGATCCTACTCGTTTAGCTGCAGTACCAACTTTAACAGCATGCCACGTCCTAGGCTTTATTACTTCTGTTCAAGTGACACGTGGTACGTAATAAGTTTGTTTCTTAGCAACAACTTTTTATGATATCGATAAAACATTAGTTAATGAATATTGTTTTATTTTTTATATTTATGAAAACTATCAATTAATAAATCCACTGTTTTTATTTTATCAGATTTTGATTTAAATTTTTTAACAACAATTATGAAACAACGTATTTCGCCTTTTATTAATCATTATTGTTAGCCCAGGTGTTAGCACGCGTTGGTTTGGTAGGGTTCTTAATGTGGGAGTAAACCGGCGTACCCGGAGAGAACATTCCTGGTCACGTGGGTTTTCTTCGGGTACTCCGGTTTCCTCCTACATTTAGGCCCCCCGCGCTAACAGCCGGACCGACAAAAGAATTGGCATAAGCTGAAATAATTAGTTTCAAATTGTTGTAAATAACATAAACTTTATATTTCTATATTGAATTACAATAGGACCTCTTTAGTTAATGAATCTGTGAAGATAAGCAGTATCTGTTGATACCAGATCATCAACAGCCTTTTTGTAGACAGGTAAGTGATGGTACTTACGTTGGCAATGGATTTGTGTGATCTTGTTATTTTGTTATCTTATTGCAAAGAAAAAACGTTAACGTTGCAGTTAAAATTCAGTCCCATATTTTACGTTACTGTGATCTTTGAATAATAACATCAACGTGATATATTCAAATTGATGATGTTAAGTTTAAATCAGAAAGAACTACTGGCAACAGCATCAGTTAAGTTTCTTACTTCCAATACGTGCACTGTTGTAAATGTATCAGTCGTACTTTTTGGAAGGTTTATACCATTAAGGTAACAGCAAAGTTTACAAAATTTGTTGTACACTACTTGATGTGTTAAATATGAAAATACTAATGCTACACCGTCCTTTTTTTGGAATAAATATAAGTCAAACTATCGATTTCATAAGTCTTTTATAAGACATTGATACCAGAAAAAAATAACATTGTCAAATTCACGGAGTTTGGGGACACGGTAGTCTAGTGGTAGGACGCCGGGCTCGTAACCGAAGGGTTGCGGGTTCGCGTTACCTGTGAACCGGTAACTTGTGAACCGCTTTGATACGACCTACGAACTAGGTTGTGATAAAGCGGTGTATAAGAACCTCGAATTATTATTATTATTAATTAAATAGTAGTTTTCTATGAATTAAATCTTTCAACGTTTTTTTTTTTTTTTTTTTTTGCATAGGTATGTCCGACTGGGTATACTAACCATGTTTTCTGACTTGCTGGACCGACATTTTACCGAATATGATATAAATTGTTTTACAGCGAGGAAGATTACCAATTGTGACACTCTCCAATTTAACCTGCGCTCAAATAATCTGGATCTCATATTTAACTGCTTAAGTCCTGTATCTTTATGTATATGCATTAAATATAATACGGACATTATTTCATGATATTAAACTGATAAGATATGTTTTAAATTGTACATGCTTATAGTGTGCCTATCCCTTAATATTCAATATTTTTTACGTCATATCCAGGCAGTATACATTACAGATGCAATGATAGTTCACTGAAAAATTAATCTTTAATTAATTGATGTAAATTCCAATTATTTGTCATGGCAACGATAATTGAAAACATAAGTAAAAGTACTTATCGCACGGACTGAGATTTTGGAAATGTGTACATTTTGTATTTATGTCTATTCATGTAATGCTATTCTGGATAAAGAAGGATGTCAAATGTTCAGTAATTTTGTGACGAGACTGAATGAAGGAAAACACGAGTAATCGATGTCCCTAGTGTTTTGTGGTACTGCTTTCTCTAGCCCCTTCCATTACAGTCACGGCGCTTCCTCGCATCATTGTATTATATTTCGTCAACTGAAATGTTTATTAATATCTGTTTATATGAAACGCTTTCTGCTTTACCTGTAAAGTAAACAAATCAATACAATTAGTTGTCAGAAGTTGTTTAAGTTAAAAAAAAAAGAACTTGTATGTTTATTTTGATTGTTACGCTATGTGAAAATGTGATACTTAGCTCCTTCCGAGGTCGACGAGAGGCAATGTACCCTTGTCCTGAGTACAGGTAAATAGTTACACTGTATCTGCATGCAGTTACGTATAGTACTTACAATGTAAATACACATAGATAAACGGATAGATAAACAAATATAAATATATTCAGCTGAGAAATTGGAACACGCTTAAGAATATCCGTACCATTGTCAAAAATTGTAACTAAATACTGGAAACTGCCTTTTCCCGGCATGACTGTAGATTTTTTATGAAAAAAAAGCCATACATTTTGGTACGTTTATAAAAAAAAGGAAAGGCAATCAACAACAGTGTTCTGAGTGTAAAACAAGTCAGTGGAGCTAGATCGGGATTCGAACCCTGTACTATACTGTCTCTCTAACTGATTGAGCCATCTAGTTAACAGAAGTGTCTTAGCCTAACAATACTACAGTTATATCCCAACATAGGTTAAGAGAAGGTTACTGCGCATAGGAAATACACAGTGCAGTGGACAAGGTTGCTTAAAATCAGGAAAGATAAAGGTTGAAATTAGAAATTGTATTTAAACACAGGCTATTTTCAAAAAGAAATTACAACCTGAATACCTACCTCATTAACTCATTTGCTCTGTACGTATGCCTGGTTATTTCTAGATTGCATTGAAACACCAACACAACCTATATAACAACTAGAGTGAAGGTTTCGTCACGTTCGCAAAAGTCCAATAACCTCATCGATATTTAATACAGAAAGTGTACAGGGGTGTCAGCGTTTCAGTTGACAGATTTTGCGTTTTCATTCCATTCCGTTTGTCAACTGAAACGCTGACACCCCTGTAATATTTTATTGAAATTGATTTTTTTTTAAAATTATTTTTCAAACACTTGATCATATGTCATCAAATATATTTCCTATGTGTTGGGAGAGTTGTCTCTCTTAGTACAGTGGATTATTTTCTGATCCGGTTATCCGGCTGTGGTGTTAAATATTACGACTTGCGTTTTTAGAGTGTTTGATCTACAACAAGCGGTAAGCAGACCGGTAGAAATTCCTATTCATTTACCATTATACCAAAGGTCGATAATACGTCCAACTGCTCGTCTTAGTTTGTGATTTAGAAGATAAGCTACTGTATCATATTATAGGACACTGAGGGTTATCGCTATGGAAGGCAATTGCTATGGCAAGCAGTATTTACTTAGGCATGAAAATTGCGATCTCATGTTTCTTACTCGGTTCAGTTTGTTAATTTAACACACCTCAATATTAAAAGCTAATATGAAAGTTAATTCGGGTGATTTTGTGTTCTTTTGCTCACCCCAAATCATATACATGTACATATGTATGTATTATGACAACATTTTGCCAATCAAACAAATAAATTTCAAAACTTGAAGTCAGTTATGTTGTTCTATTTGTGTCTATTTGATAACATCACTTATCTTAAATATAACATAACATAGTTCCATCTCCGTATGTGTGATTTCTTACACGAGACGCATCCACCGTGTTTATAGCAAACCTAAAGATTTTAAATTTCATGCCTATACAAATGTGTTACTACAATAGAACATAAATATTTTTTATGGATAAAGGTAAATCACATTCTCTACTGATTTCTTGGTTTTGCTCTGAGTCCAGATTCGAAACTGTATATGGCAACAAAATGGATCTTCTAAAACAGAATTATTAAAATCCCTCTAATGATTCATCTCAAACTTTTCTTTGATTTAAAAAAAAATAAACTTATGTTTTTCTTTCAACGTTTTGGTGTTTATTTGTAATAAACAACTAACTGTCAATAAATTATAATCACAATACATGTAATACCAACAAAGCATACCAAGTGTCACGTGAACAGAAGTAATACAATTTGGACCGTGGCATGCTGTTAAAGTTGGTCGAGAGGCAGAACGAGTAGGCTCCTGCGTAGCTGATGTGTACCCATTCTCCGACCTCCATCAGTGGTAACTCGACATCTGTTACCACACAATCTGTCGCACTACAACTTGGTCCCCACACAATGCTTCTGCACTTTGCCGTTTCTCTCTAAAAAAAAAAAAAAAAAAAGATAAACGTTAAATGAATTCCAATATCTCCTAGTAGCCTAATTGAAGTCGGTAATTCTTTTTCAAATTTTAGCCTGAAAAATAACAATATACATTCTTCTTATGAAGTGTATCTCGATTCTTGCTCTTGCATATTAAACGCCTCCCGTAGTAGGTTGTGATAATGCAATTGTTATATGCTTTAATGCGTTTTTAGTATTGAAATCAAGAAAGCTGACAAATGAGAAAGAGCCCCGCCATGAGCCTGACCGTAACGACATGGTTTTTTTTAATAACACATAATACTGGCCTTTACCTTGACCTGAAACTCTTCACAAAGTCGCCCTTACATAAAGTAGTGTATTACAATGACAAATTAAAAAAACAACAGTTTATTAGATTCCGCGTTAAGGAAAGTGTTGACGGACGGACATTATTACAATAGGGCACCATATCGTATTCGCATTAACATACAAACCTAGATTGCAATTTACAATGTTTTTAATGTCCGTGTTATATTTTTCCAACAGAAATGACTGCGTATTATTGACATATGAAATGTATATGCATTTTGTATCAGGACGATGATTTTTCGAATATTAAAAAAAATTAACTGATTTATAAGGCTCATTTATTTCGACTTGGAAGTATTTAAGCCTCAGATCATGTCATCATTCAGCTTCCTTGCGAAATAAAGGCTGAAAGGAAATTAGATCGTAAAAAATGGTAAATATTTCTTACTTCAGTTTCGCAAATAAGTTCGCCGGATAATCAATGTCAAGACAAATACTATCTACTATACATTATCAACAGGAAACACCGACCTACATTGCTACTCACGCATTATCTAACCAGTTTAATGAAAAATAAAAATATTACATATGTAACACGAAGTTCTTTAAAAAAAAATATCAATGGCTTCATAGACAAAGAAAATCACATACCCTTATTCAAACCTTCATCAAAATCATAGATAAGCTTGCGTCCAATGATCCGTGACCTGCGCTGACAGCAGTTTCTACAAGGTAGCGTCCGGGTTCGGCGATAATTCTTAAACCTTCTACAAATATTTATTTATCGCAAAATATATAACACACGTGACACAAGGTGTTTTTTTTATTAAATTTATACGGATACAAGTTATTATCTACAAGCTTAAAGCAAACAGGACACAGATACATACATATAGAATGGAAAATTGAACAAAATATACATATAATTCAAATTCAAATTAATTATTTTTTCATTTTACGATCACTTTGATCCTGGTGAGAGTTATCTTCCTTGAAAACAATCGTAAATATCTGCAGAGGGATAATATGTACACAATGACAGTTATCTCTGTTTATATATAACAAAAAAGATGGGAAAAAAAATCAAATTTATGATATCAAAACTATCAATTTATTGTTCTTTTTGGAACCAAATTAATCTCAGTCATGTACACTTTTGACATCATTCCACAGTCCGCTAACGCAAGGTATATTTACATGTCAGGTACAAATGTGACCAGAGGCTATGGCATGGTATGCCGTTCTCGCGTGCACTCACAATATGGAAATGACGAAACGGTGTACATGCACATTTCGTTCGAGATAATTGAGTCCGAGCTGTACTTTTTCCGGAAGTTCGTCACGAAAATGGACACTGATGACGATGTATGGAGCAACCTTAAACCAAACTCGTAATTTGTAGAACTCCATAAATATCCTATTCAAAAAATATCCTAGTAACGACATGTATAAGACAATCCGAGTTATTTTCTTTCCTTAGTGTGTTATTTACATGTAAATATAATTTTATTTAGTTTCGTAATGTTCTTGCTAGCTTTACGTATAAGATTAATGCGGCCCTTTTGATAGGATGTGCTTGTTGATCATAAGTAATGAAGCGTGCTCGTTGGCTTGCACAGCTGCTATGCTGCTCTTTAATCCTGTTTGCTTATACTGTTTTTTTTATCATATCAGTACTTGAAAATGATCAATCGTGAAAGAAGTCAAATTGCAGGAGCGCGTATGAATGCCATTATCCAACAAGTGTCACAGGAAGACAATGATTCGGACGAGGATTATCAAGATTCATTTGAAGAAGCTCCCGGCGATAGAGCAAGGGCGGACAACGAAGTTAAAGTAGCACCTAAAAGTAGTTCCGAAACAGTGTAGCCGTTCGCTTGCTTTACCTCTAAAAACTCGTTATCTGAGTTTTTAATGTCAGTTGGAATAAGCTGGATGACTCTTCCCAAAACATCACCTTTCTTGGCATCATGATTGACACTTTAATTTGACTTTCAGTCTGCCGGAATCAAAACTGGAGGAATTAAGGGTCTTGCTACTCTCGTTCTGTAAACGTAAACGTGCAAGCGTACGACAAATGCAGTCGCTTTGTGGGAAATCAAATTGGGCCCGTGCTGTTATAAAAGGGGGTTGAATTTTCTTGCGACGTATGATTGATATGATTTCTCCTAATGCCAAAGGATCATTAAAAATATTATTGTCGGAATCTGTCTTTGCCGACTTAGATTGGTGGATTCAATTTCTAACAATCTTCAATGGAACAGTGTTTTTTTCTGGATGAAAGGCCGATTACAGACGGATACTAACAGGATTCTGGATTTACCATATGCTGCTGCTGAGCAAAGAAAGAAACCGTGTATGTAGTGTTAGCAGCACTCCATTGGGGCTCCTTATGGACAACATGACAACAACATGTGTAATCAATAAGGGTTCATCGAAAAATCTTACAAAGATGAATTTTCTTCGCATTTTATTCTTGGTGTCGGCCTATTTTAACTTTGATACATGGAAATGTGATAATGTGATTGCGGATAGTGCGTCTAGACTCCATGAACCAGGTAAATTAACATGTCTTCATGCTTTTTAGTCACATGTCTCCCATGCTTATCTTACTCAGGTTGTACTCTGGTGTGTGGCGAAAGGGACTTAAAAATGGGTAACTCGCTTGCTCGACAAGGGATGGGCTAAATCCACGTTGAATACATACAATACTCACCTCTGGACTTACCAGAATGTGTGTGCTGCACATGAGAGTCCTGATATTCTTACCATAGGGTTATATGCTGCCTATCTAGTAGACGTAAAACGCTTTCAATTTAGTATCCTTAAAGATTTACTTGAGGTCTATTCTTCACAAATCCCAGGGTTTATCAGACCCTATTTTAACGTACTGGAGAATTCGGTATTTATTGACTGGAATGAAGCGTAAACTTGGTATGGCATAGTCGTGTGAAATGGCAGTTATCCAAAACATTTTGTTAAAAATGCTTTATTACCTTGATATGTCAGGCAAATATAACATAGTGTTTTTGGAGGCCTGCCTTGTCGTTTTTTTCGGTTTTCTACGGCCAAATAATTTTCTTGTCAGGGGTAATTATGATCCTTCTGTTCATGTACAATATCTTGACTTGCTGCAATGTCGTTGGGTTATATGTATGCTGCTGTCCCAACAATTGTAACAACCATGCCATTTCGAGCCTGTCCCATTGACGTAATTCTACCTTGGCTTCATAATCACCCCCCTTTTTCCATGCTCAGCCATAGAAAAGTCCCCTCTCAATTTCCTCCCTTATCCCCTCTCTTGTATATATTTTTGGGTTGTTGCCTCTCAAGTTTCATAATTGAATACAAAGTAGAACACTGTCAATGTCATACAGTGTACGCATACGTTTTTAAGACCTTATTATTAAATGTGTAATGTTTCAGTGCATTTGCACATTGGTTTGTAATGTTATTTTTAAGGTTACTTGCTAAGTGTACTATAAAAGCAAACTCTCTCTCTATTTTAGTCGTGCTTTATTTTCGAAATACGAACAACTGTGGTAAAGCGATTAAGTCAAATGTCGCGATAATTATCACGACTCGTAAGAATTCTATATCATCAAGGGTCTGAACTGGTTCTTGAACTGTCGCTCTGGATATAATATCACTAGTAGCACAATTATTAATGTGGCACCCTGTTAATTTGGATTGTTTTTAGGGTTTATATTTATTATCGCTCGTTGTGTTATGTCTGTGTTGTTCGTATCCCACGTCGTGTTAGTGTGTGTCTGTTGGCCTGATATGCGTACGGTGCTCGTTGTGTGATTGTTGCGTTGTGCGTATCTTACACCGTGTGTTAGGTAATTGCCCGTTGTGTGTTTTGTATGTGCGGTTCGTGAGTGTCCGGAGAGTGTTCGTATGACGTATGTAGGTATAAAACAGGTTTGACCACTGACGGACAGTACAGGACATGCGCGTTGCGTTTTCCTTTTCTCTCTTTTGTACTTTTGCCGCCGTTTGGTAGTTCTTCTTTGACCATCTATCAGAGAGGTTGTATTTTTCACAAAGATGTAGATCTAATCTATATTTATTTATTCACGTCCTGGGCACCACATGCCAAGTAAGTTTAACATTATTATTTATTTATTTGTTATCATTACATTAATATGCGATCGGTAATTTTACTGATAATTGTAACTTATTGGTAGATAATGTTCGTCGTGATATTTCCTGTGGTCTATTTGTACTTTGTCAGTTATATATAAACGATAATAGAATATATGTATGTGATCGAATCTATGTAAATGTATTCGTAGAGTTATTTTAAAGTACGCGCTATTGTTGTATAGTTGGGCGCGTTAGTTTCGGTACTATGTATTGAATATAGCTATTTATTTGTTGTAGGGACTTTTGTCTATGTTCTCATCATTAAACACATCTATGAAGAGAATCTTGTGTCGGTCGTTATTACGCCAAGACCCTCCCCTAAAAATCCGACTACGTTACATTGGCGCCCACGTAGGCACTATGTGATTTGCAACTACCGGAGACGTCCATTGAATACACACCCATGCGCCCCGCATATGTGTATTCAAACCGGAAATGGAGCGGAAAACCTGTGAAGTGTGCACAGCGATGTTTCAACTTTACACTCAGTTCTTGTTGCCCTTCCATGGATTAATTGACTGCCCGTGTACCGATAAGCTGAACTTGGATGTGCGTGTTCTCCTGTGATTCTGACAGGCTAGATTTTATTTTGATATAACCGTGATTAAGTTGTCATAAATAATTTCAAGATCCGTCACTCGTGAATAAGCGATATGTATTTGATTGGAAGAAACAGATTGACAGTCATTCATGGAATTATATTACCCCGATACAGATATGGTCATTGTGGGACTGTTTAGGAACTCCCCTATTAAAACTGTTTGTAACTAACTCGATTGGCAATTGCATTCTCATTACTGTTCATATACCTGTGGTTAAACTTTCCACATTTTAGATAAAAAGTAATGTGTACACGTGACTTACACTGCCGAACTGTAGATGGAAATCACGCTGTTGCCTTATATAAATAAATTTATACCGAATACAGCGTCCGTGTAACTATTCGCATTGATAGTCGATTGAATGTTTCCTCGGTATAACGATTGTTATCGCGCATACCTTTGTGTTGCTCTTGCTCGTCCGTATTTGTCGCTGTCAGTGGTTGAACTTACCGTTACCGCTACGTTTTTGTCCTGCTGATAAGAATACCTGTCCCACTGCACTGTTTTTGTCCTATATACAGTTACCTCCCCTTTACTTCCGTTTGGATATCACAGTAGCACAGTTGGGCCAGGAGATTTCCGCTGACCAGGTAGCTCAGTCGGTTAGAGCAGAAGAACAACGTTCTGAATTCCTAGTCTCGCCCCGCTGAATGCTTACACTGAAAAGGCTGTTGTTGATTATAATGTGTTCATTCAATGGTTTTTTTTTCTCTCAAAAATGTCCTGCATAGTTTAGGTTTCTTTTCAGAAATGGTTCATCTAAGCTATAATTAAACCAGAAAAAAATGTTTCCAATACTGAGATACGTTTGTGGCAACGGTACGGGACTCCTTAATTAATGTTGATGAAGCAGTGTGTGATGACTTCCTATCGCGAGGGTTATTGGTATCGACAGTGTCGTCCTGTTTAAAATACACATGGCAGACGAGGATAGTACGTGTACTGTAAGATAAACGAGATACGTTTATCTGTCGTTTTGAACTATGTATCTGAATATAACTTAGTATATTCTGAACGCAGGTATGTCTGCCTCTATATTCAGATCAAAGATCAGCTGAGTTACATATCTGTCTAACTAGTCACGTGACGTCTTGTAACAGTACATGTAATAAAATCTATATGTACGACGGAGCAACAAATTGGCGACGATTTTCATCTTATGAGTAAAGTGAAATCACATCGGTAAAATTCAACCTACAATATGGCAAGTAACAGATCCGTTGTCCGTGCCCAGGAACCCGTAACCTACACGTGTGCTTTGTGTGACAGTGAAGACGGAGTTAGATGGTATTGCAACGATTGTCAAGATAATTTATGTGACCGGTGTAAGGAAGCCCATTCCCGCGGAAAGAAAACTAAAAACGACGAGGTGGTATTGATAGGAGAGGCTACCCGTCAGGGCGACAAGCCTGTACCTGAGGTATGTAAACTACACCCCGGTAAACTGTGTGACGTGTACTGTTGTGATTGCGACATTCTGATGTGTTTGATGTGTTTTTCCCAGACACACAAACAACACAACTGGAAACATTTTGAAGACGAATTTCAAATAAAAAAGCGAAATCTGCAAGAACATATGACAGCAATATCTGCTAGAATTGCACACTTCAAAAACGAGACGTCGAAGCATGGTAACAAAACATTCAAAGGTAACATTGATATAATGAGAAAAGACGTTAACACACAACGGGCAATGATGAAGTCAGAAATAGATTCTATCGCGGATGCAGTTCTGGCCGAGTTATCGTCCCTGGAAAAGGAAGACGCAATAATGCACCAAAATGATGGTCAAGAATCGGAGAAAAAAGTCAGAGAGTTGACGAGTCTGCTTGAAAAAGCGGAAAAGACGGATACAACGAGTACATTTGAAATGGAAAGGTCATTGAGAACAACTCTACCTTTGTATGATGTTAATGTGAAGATTGTTCTACCGAAACTACCAAGCTTTGTTACCGGAAGTATCGACCGCGTCCTGTTGACGAAAATGTTAGGTGAATTACACCACGGGAACCAGTACGAGAAGACAGACATCGACAGTAAACACGTTCAACGTCTTTCTAAGTTTACTGTTACTCAGCAAAATAAAATGTTCGGTATATGTCCAGTCGACGACAGACACGCATGGTTATCAATAAATAAATACCAGGGTCTGGTACTGGTCAACAAGGAGGGTGTGGCCATAAAGACAGTAAATCTCGACTTCTGTCCGTACAGAATAGCCATGGTCGGGACAACAGACATACTTATAACCAGTAATCCACGTAGTACATTTGTATATAAACTATCACTACACAACAAAGAAGTGACAACATTTGCTGACATCAGACCACATAAAACATATGACATCAGCATCAACGAGAAGGGCGAGGTGTTTGTTAGTACAGCTTCACCAGACGTAGTGGTACTGAATCAGTCAGGTACGATTGTGAGGAAGGTGACGTGTGGAATGAATGGACTGAATATAACATGTTTGTCGGCAGGAGACATTGCAGTGTCGGACTCTTTCAATGTATCAATCATAACAGACAGTTCTGGTACAACCAAATATAAATGGTCTGGTGAACTCAACAACGGTCAAAAGCTTGGTAGAAGGAACCTTTGTAAGATGTCACGTGACAAGTACGACAGACTGTTTGTACCGGACTACACTAACAACCAGGTGTATGTCCTACCGAGAGATAGTACACAGGCCACGTGTCTCCTGGACCAGAAACATGGAGTGATCGGACCTACAGCGGTGGCTGTGGACACGTGTGGAAACGTGTGGATCGGGTGTAATGACGGTACCGTACACGTGATAGGACTGTAGAGTTAGAAAAGTATTGTGACATACAGAAATCCGTGTTAATGATAAAAAATATAGCCTGGTAAATATGTGTTTAGAGATAATCCCTTAATGTTCTACCTGTACTACATATATAGATATATATAATTGAATGGAGCAGTCATTGATATGTGGTGTACACTTGACGTTGACTTTATTAAGGCGTGAAGCTAGATAACCAGTAACGTTAACGGTTGATAATAAACTGTATGTTGCATGTAATGGAAATAGTGGACCGAAAAATAGAGGAACCGCATCCATCCGGAAAATTTGTTTTCAAAAGAAAAGTTTAGTTTGTACTGAATACATGTGCTGATAATATTTTCCCGGACAAAAAAAAGTATGCCCGTGTTTAGGGCAGTCTTTTAATCACCTGTTGTGACAACAGATAGATTCAATTGACTTTGTTTTGATATATCCTCTATATAATAATGTTATATCTCATAAACTTCAATATCATGTATCACTTGACGTAAATGGTTTATTTTGCCTACATTTGGACGGTTGTCGTTGTATATATATGATCTTACATGAGTTCCATTTCATATGAGATTGATGAGTCTAAGAATTTGTCAATTTAGCGAGCCTCTGGGGAGCTAAAATGAAAAATTCATGACGAATTTCATAAATTTCATATGAAATGAAAACAGGTGTAAGATGCTTTTTATCACATAATCAATACATTTATTCGTGAAACTGGACAATTTTCATGCAACCTCGAAATGTAAAAAGCTACCATTTTGACTCAAGTGCGGAAGTCTGTGACGTCATGTACTTGCCCTAGGCGTGACGTCACAATTGAAACAATTGAAACTTACAGCCAATCACAGGGCTGATAGGTCATATTATATGGGTTAATACGCAAAAAAATATGACATGGGTATATTCACTGGATAACACAGTGCATTATGCGATTAATATAAATTTACCGTTACAAATGATAGTTTTCTTACATTTTAGAATGATTGGATATATATATATATATGTACATTTTGTATAATATGAAAGTGTGATAAAATATAAAACGAAAGATGCACATATATATACTACAGTTTCTCAGATAATGATCACAATAACGCTTGGACCAAAAAGTTTTATTTTCTTATATTCAGGCAAAATGCTTAAAATCCAAATTCATTAATTTAGTATTTTACAAGAAAATAAAAAATACAATATTGTTTTCCTATTTTTTTACATTTTAAAATGTTAGGTAGAATATCAGAATATCCATATATCACAATTTACAAAATTCAACAGTGTATTTTAATGTCTGTGTTACACTGTGGTGCGTGTGTGATGTTATCTTGATATACTTTACATAGCGTGACACAATGTAATCACTTGTGTTTATACCAACACATGCACTATCATGTGTTTGGACAGAAAACAAAACGAAAATTAATTTTAATTATTGATGTATCTATCAAATAATAAAATTATAAACATCCATGGAACGTTGTGTTTATTCATTTGTAAATCAGAATATGTTAGAATATAGAACAGAGTTAATTACACTATAGTAGATGCAGATGATCGAGAACAATTACATACGTATGTACACCACAATGAGAACTCACAGACCGTGAGAACGTTTGTCGTTACTACGACATAACAATGACATCATATGGCTTTAACGCGCTTCCGTAGACCCCCCCCCCCCTCCCCGAGTTAGTATGTCAAATAATACCCGACGAAGACCACATCTATTGGGATGTCGTTGACAAATTAAGGTCGATGACTATTTTTTATAAAATATATTCATCTTCTCTTAAACTTAAACTGTCTGATACTTCGTGACATAAAGATAGTACCCTTTATATTCTATATTTAGATGTGTAGCTAGATATGTACGTTCTGTAGTGTAATGTGGATCTACGCGAGATAAAACATACAGTTATTGTTGTTAAATCAATGAAGATAGCAATCACATAACATCAACTATTTCAATATTTTATATTGAACCATAACACGTACACTAGACCATTATATGAATTACAGAGTACATGTGGTAGACATGTAGGTGTAACAGTTAAACACGGAGTGAGCCTGAACCAGTAGTTAAACTCCTCGGAGTACATTTTGACTCTACGCTAAATTTTGAGTTTCACATATCCGAACTTTGTAATAAAAGTGCTTCACGACAACTAGGTGTTCTAAAGCGCTTGGGACATTTTCTGACAAAACAAGGTAGGAGTGTGATATACAACTCTTTTATTGTCTCAAATTTTAATCACTGCCCTCTCGTTTGGCATTTCACTAGTATGACGAGTGTTGAGAAGCTTGAAAAGATACAAGAGCCTGCCCTTCGTTTTATCCACAATAATCATGTCTCCTCTTTTACTGAACTTTTAATATTGTCAAATGCAGTTAGATATGAAATTTTTCAAATTCTGAACAAACTCTCTCTTGAATACATCCGTGATCTAATAATACTTAAGTCCGCAAACTATAATATTAGACATCATAATGCAGCAGAGTTGCCTAGGGCTATAACAATTAAGTATGGAAAGAAATCATTTAATTTTGAGGCTGCTAGGGTGTGGAACACTCTCCCAAATGAGTTCCGAAAAGTGGACAACTTTTCGGGATTCAGGAGAATGATCCACAATTGGAGTGGACCCATCTGTAGCTGTTCAATCTGTGGCACCTCTGTTGACTGACTTTTAACAATTTTAGTGCTGAAAATTGGGTGCAACATTGTTAAGTAATTTTAACAATTTTAGTGCTTAACATTAGATGTAACATTTTTAGATAAACATACTGTGATATCAATTTCAGTGATTAATATAATATGTCATTTAATGAATCAAATTATACGATATGTAACTGTTAGTTTTCTCTCTTAATCCTATTCTTCTTTACTATATGAAATGCTGTTTTAATTCACTCTATGTTAGTGCATATCATGTCAATTTTACCCTTTGCTATATTAGCATGTACATATAGTGTTTTAACATTCATTGTAGTACCACATCGTTTATTAATACGTGTCAAATCTTTCGAATTTTATATGAATAAGTGTCAAGCCTTGTGATATTATACATTTGACACTACAGTGTATTCTTTCTGTATATTTATAACTCATTACTACTATTACATTTTGTTATTGTTATTTTATATACTTGTGTTTGTCGCAATAATAGCTCTCAAGAGCTAATGATCCGTAACGATATGTATGTTACTTTAAATAAAGCGTCTTGTATCTTGTAAATTCTCTACGTTGTTGAAGTTATTCCATAAAAAAAAAAATTCACCTCCTCTTTCGTTTCAACAGTAGATTACATCAATTGGGATTTTAACCTCTTTTTGGCCCCTAGCAGCACCGATGACTCTTTAAAAGGACGAAAAAGTTGTATGGTACAGTTTGATTAAATTAGACATTCTGATTTTATAAACAAATTTTAAAGTAAGTGTTACCACCAGTGTGTATCCTATGTTTATCTTTGTACAACAGACGTTAATACATTTTGAAAGAATTAATCTTTATTCAAATAATAGATAATCCAAGATTAGATGTGTGCGTAAGTCTATCATAACAGAAATGATAAATGTGAATTTTCCTTAATTTCATGCCTCAAGAAAACAATTATATAAAGAGAGTTTGTGGTTCCAAAAGTGACCGATATACAATTAAAACGAGTACGTTTACGTAGCCCTACGAAAACCGTGTTAAACAGCATACAATAATACCGAACAGAGGGTATCTTATCTGCACGTGACTTTATCAGTACGTGATTTTATCAGTTCTACAGGTTCACGATCTGTCAATGCTGCACTAGATCATGCAAGTAAGGACATGTCAACACGGTGTATTCTTTATCGTTTATTTAACATTGTCCTTGCTGGACTGATAACTTTTGCTGTGTACACAATATATCACACACGTATACACATTACATCAAACACTTCTACACTTGTAAAGCATACGTGTACACATTGTATCATACACGTGTATACGTACATACCTTGTATAACATATGTCTATAATTTGTGTCACTCTTCTACACACTGTATAACACACGTGTATACGTTGTATTACACATATATACACATTGTATAAACCACGTGCACATATTGTATAACATAGTATACACATTGTAAAATACACGCACTTACGTTGTATCACACACATTAAAGGGGCATCACGCTGAAGTAACTTTTTTTTTTGTCTTTTTTCCAAATACTACATAAACATATCAAGTGAGACTCCTTATGGAAAATGCCGATCGGATTTGGCTGAAATAGATTCATAAAAATGATTAAATCTAAGATAATCATCGGTATTTCTACCTGTCTGACCAACGTTTTGTTCAGGGATTTCCCTCTACTAGCGCATGCGCATAGCACACCATTTCTTTGTAAACAAAATGACTGGCCGTGTGAAGTAAGCCAAAGAAAAGTGTTGTACCGTGTCAGCTACGAAGCGAATAGTTGCCAAATGGTCAAAAGATAGCGCAAGGGGTACGTTACGGAATCATTATTGCCAGTGGGAAGTATTCAAAGCAGAAAATAACTGCCCTAGCAGTCAGTACGGTGCATGTTTTCTTCCGGATAGCGGCCGGTTAAGCTGAAATAAAATCGACAGAAATGCTAGCGCTGTTTATGTTATGAATAAATATCTAAAACTATTAACCTCGCTAGTATCATTGTGTGAGTTTGAACACAGATGAACTTAGTTTAATATGTTAATGGGCATGTATCGGAGAGAGTTTACTTTGTGTTTTTT